AAGCACTCTGCTGCTACCCCAAAGGTTGACAGTTTGAACCCACCCAGACGCTTCATGGGGAAAGACCTGGAAATCTGCTTCTGTAAAGATTACAGCCTAGAACACCCTATGGGGCGGTTCTACTCTGTCACATAGTCACTAGGAGACAAAAACCAACTCGACGGCACCTAACAACAATAGCAGGAGCTTGTTAGAAATGCAGAATGTCAGACCCTACTTCAGACTTCTGATTCAGAATCTGCATCTCAACAAGATCCCAAGGTGATTTGGGTGTACAGTAAAGTCTGAGAAGGACTGACCTAGAGAAAAGGGGGGTGGAGGGGGGAATTCTGGCAGATGGTTACTGTTTTGAGTTGCCAACCTGATGGCAATTAGACATACCTGAGGTGTGTACCAGAAATCTCCTGAATTTTTTCTTTTAGGCATTATTTATAATATCTCTTCATTTTAGGTTTTGGGGAGGGGATTGTGTTTGTTGTAAATTGTAATGTCTATGAGAGCATTTACTGTTGCATCCATTCTTGCTTGAAGGAAGGAAAGAAACAATGAATCAATGATAGCTTTCTATTATTGGGCATGGCTTGGATTGAATCCTACTTTGAGTAAGGACTTGATACAGGGAAAGTCTTCTGGGGGTGGCGACTTGGACCATCGTGTTTTTAAAATAGAAACAGAGAGCTGTGTCATTGGTACTCCCATATGATGCTCGGATGATCAGGAGCCAACTTCTTAATAAGAACAAACAGCTGGTCATTGGAATCTTAAATAGAAGAGTTCAACCACTTGTTTAACCCACTTCCAGGGAGTGGGTTCTGATTCACAGCAACCCTATAGGACAGAGTAGAAATGCCCCATAGGGTTTCCAAGGCTGTAAATCTTTACAGAAGCAGACTGCCACATCTTTCTCCTGTGGAGCCGCTGGTGGGTTCCAACCTCGGATCTTTCGGTTAGCAGCCAAGTGCTGTAACCACTGCATCACCACGGCTCCCTAACCACTTGTTTTCAGGTAGTTAATGTGCTTCCCCAATCTACTACTGAAAGAGAAGATTTGCTGACTACAATCTGTGTTCTACTGGTTTTAGAGCAGCAGAAGTTAGTGGTCACTTTAAGGCCAGTTTCTGGGGGCTCGGCTGCTAGCCAAAAGGTCGGCAGTTGGAATCCACCAACCACTCCTTGGAAACCCTATGGGTCAGTTCTACTCTGTCCTACAGAATCACTATGAGTAGGAATCAATTCAACAGCAAGTTTTGGGTTCTTTTTTTTTTTATTATCTCCTTTGGCTTCAAGTCATGGTTCGAATTATGTCCCCCCAAAAATGTGTGTATCAGTTTGACTGGACCTTGATCCCCAGAATTGTGTGGTTAGCCTTCATTTTGTGATTTTAATTTTATGTTGAGGACGATTAGGGTGGGATTGTAACACCACCCTTACCCAGGTCACATTCCTGATCCAATGTAAAGGGAGTTTCCCTGGGGTGTGGCCTGCACCACCTTTTCTCTCTCAAGAGATAAAAGGAAAGGGAAGCGAGCAGAGAGTTGGGGGACCTCATACCATCAAGAAAGCAGTGCCGGGAGCAGAGTGCGTCCTTTGGACCGGGGTCCCTGGGCAGAGAAGCTCCTAGTCCGGGGGAACATGGAAGAGAAGAAAGCCGACAGAGAGAAAAAGCCTTCCCCTGGAGCTGACGCCCTGAATTTGGACTTTTAGCCTACTTTGACTGTGAGGAAATAAACCTCTCTTCGTTAACACTATCCACTTGTGGTATTTCTGTTATAGCAGCACTAGATGACTAAGACAACTGCCCCCTGTTCATCTTTAGTCAGTCTATTTGGTTTTTACCGTCTGAGGATGTGTGTGTGTGTGTGTGTGTGTGTGTGTGTGAGTATATGGCTTGCAAAAAAAAAATGGGTAGAAGAGAATATATGATGGGTTTAATATCAAATAAGTGGAAAATCACAGTAGTTTTTTTAGAGGAGATGACTGTTTAGAAAATAATAACAATACATAGCTCCTATCATATGCACAGTGTATCCCATGATGCCAAAAGAAAAACCCTTCCTAATGTAATGAATATTATTGCCTGAAAAGTATTGCTCCCAGATACATATTTTTTGCATAAGAATTTTTCTTCAATTTTTGCGTTCACTGCTCAGAATCAATAATTCTTGATAGCAGTGATTCTTCGCTATAAAGACCTTCCCCCCCCCCCTTAATTGGGGAAAAACATTTGATGTCCTAAAGGATACGAATCAGAAAATTACTCTTAATGCCATGTTAATCTTCAAAACAGACAATGCTACAAACCAATCTGGAATAATAGTTCATTTAGGATAACATGGGAAAACAAACATTAACAGAACCTAGTTCTCAAGCCTATTAATTTAATGCTCCATCATCATTTCAATTTCCCAGCCACAGAATTAGTGATAATGGCAATAAATTTTAAAACATGCATGAGTGAGCAATGTTTTAGTAATGCATTTAGTCTTTTAGTCTGAATTTGCTTAAAATCTACATTTATTGTATTTTTTTCCATTCTTAGTTTTTGTTAGTTTTGGTGAAAATTAGCTATTAAATAATCTCAAAAACTACTTAAACATGATTAATATAAAAAGCAATAAGTCTTATTTCCCATAGACTTTTCAGGCCTATTTATATTATCCAGAAATCAAGGCATATTACAGACAATTTTCACTTTCCCAGAGACTAATCATCCAGGTTGTGTTTACACAGACCCCTGGATCTTAATCTCCTCTTTACTTCCATTTTTCTTGAGTTTATTTCTGATCTGTTTATTGTCATAGATGAGAGAAGATAAAATAAACCTTGGTCTTTGTAGCTCTTATTAAAAGGAGAGACAAGGCAGAATAAGTAAATCAAGGTTTATTATTTTTCAATTTTCAATGGTTTCCATTTTTCATCGTATCTCTAACATCACTGTGGAAAGCTGGTGGGTACTTTAGTAGAATATATTTTCAAAGTTCTTTTGTTGGATGATTTTTTTTTTAATTAAGTGTATATACACATGATGCAATGACTAAACACACTGTACTATTCAGTCAATACTAGGTGTCTCCACAGGTATTACAATTAAATTCAATCCTTTTTCCCGAGGTTATGTGTGAATTCAGTTGAATAATTGATTATATAGAGTTTGTTGTTTTAGTTATCAGCAACTTCCCTATTCAATTCAGTTTAAAAAAAGAACTGAAACAGGTGTATGTAAATACAGAAAACAGAATTATACTTTTGTAAAAATTCCAGAAAACATGATACCTATACAGTAGATTAGAACACTGACAAAGATACACTTTGCTTTTTGAGCTTTCTGAATTTCCTCCTATTTTTAAAATTATCTATGTGGGTGTTTACTAAGTGCTGAAATAAATTACTGGAAAGGAAAATAGTATCATTTATCTACATGAAACAAATAACTGGTTGAACTAATTCATTGTCTGATTTATGCAGTTGTAATGTCATGGGTTGGGCACAATTTGTACATGCGCACATGGTATTACATTCCCCGGAGTATTTGTAAATAGAGTGTTTTGGTTTGCTCTATGGTATTAGCATGTATGTGAACAGAACATAAAAAGTCAGTCTGTTAAAAATCCTTGCCAACTCAGAAAATATTCCTTGTGCATTCATTTTTAATTGGTTTTTCTTTTTCCAGTACAATAAGCTGAGATACTATTTTAAAATAGTATTTTAAATAAGCTAATTAAAGCAGGGGGCAGTTAGAACCATAAAATACATAAACGTAATAGTCATGATTTTTATTTTAATCCTAGCCAGTAGGTTATAAGCATATTTCTCCCTGACGTAACATTTAAAAAAAAAATATTACACCATAGCGTGTTAAAACAAAACGACAAACTAGGAATGAAATGAAAAGACAATTCAGTAGCCTTTATAGTTACACAGTGATAAAATCCCAAAAGGTTTTCATCTTTAAACTATTCAGGGTGTCTGAATTTCTGCTGCCACAATATTTTTTCTCAAGTGGAATAAAAATGGCCTTTTTGCGCACATAGATCTAGCCGTTCCCCGGCTGGTTGATTCTAGAAAAGCAACAGGCTTTTTCCCCTCTGCCTCACAAGAAGCAACAGTTAGAAACTCCAGTAACTGGAAAACTGCTACCCACACTGTTTAGAAACAGCCAACAAAGTTCCAGCTATGATTTCAATCCATTTTGCAACAGCTTCAGAAAAAGGAGAGAAAAAAGGAAACAAAAGAATGTTGACCCCTTTGAAATGAAAGGATTGCGCTATATTACCATCGCCTCCCTCCCTTCCACGGTCCCTTTAATCATCAGGCATTTTCCGCTGGCTTAGGTTTCTAAAACAGAGGAAAGCAATAACCCGACCCATTCTTTTTCAACTTATTGGCAAATGCAGCGAGACAAATCCATCGACCCCCACATGAAACAATGCAAGTCTCCCCCAAAGCGGACTTGAGCAATTTTGTAGTAGCAAGTATGGACTGTGTCAGCCCGTCACTCCTGCCACAACGGTGTGCTCAAGTCTGGAAACAGGGAGGGGCACTCTCTGAAACCCCAACTGTGTGCTTGGTGGCGGGCCCCGTCCATCCGCGGGCTGCGGGGGCCATGCCTGGGGAGGAGGCGGCGGCAGACCACTCTCCGGGGACCCCACTGCAGGCCGCCTGCTCGCCAGCAGATGGTGCCCTCCTCCTCTGAACACAGAAGGAAACCCGGCTAAAGTAACGCTCAGTCTCCTCCCCACCCGATCCGCCAGCGCCAACAGTCACAGTCCTTCCCAAAATAGTGCGGAGCACGTTTCTTCCGGAACACCGCAGTAGCCCGTGTGTGTCGAAAATACAAACCAGGGGGGCGACGGCTGTGTGTGCTGGGGTGGGGATCGCGCGCGGAGAGGCACCCGGGGGCCGGGGGCGAGATGACCGCCAAGGAAACGCAGAGGGCAGGGGACCGGTCGATTTCGCATCTGCGTAAGCCGGGCCGCCGGGCCCTTCGCGAGGCCACTTACCATGTTCACTTCGGAGACCATGTCTATGCTGGCGACATCGATCCGCATCCCGACGTCCACGGGGGGCCCTGCCAGGGAGGTTGAAGCACGTTATGGACACATTCTCAGAGTGGCAGCGGGCTTGGGGAGCGGCAGGGGGCTTCCTGGCACTCGCTCCATTCTGAACCGTCCCCCCACCCCACCCCCACTCCCTACCAGGGACTGCCTGGGGAAACAGGTGTAGGCACACGAGTGATGCAGTGAGTATGCAGAGGGTGTGTCGAGCCAGGGAAGGTCGGCTCTGCCTGGGCTTCATCCACCTGCGGGTGGGGACCCGGGGTGAGTGTGCGTGTGTGTGTGTGTATGTCGAGGGTGAAGTATACGTTTACGAAAATGACATGTTTTGTTTTCTTTTTTCACATTTATCTTTGACAGAAGAGGAGAACTAGAGATGGGTTACAGGTTGAAAAAAGATGAAGCATTACCTCCAAAGTCGGGCCGCAAGCGAATGTCATATCCTTTGAGCAATCTGTCCACTGTCTCTTTCACGTATGACATGTTGCTGGGCTCATTGGCGCTGAAGGGAAGAAGTAGGGACTGGATTCAGAATTAGCGCAAACTGCCAGCAGACATAAAAACAGACAGGCAGGCACACTTACCCCCAAATAACAAGATACATGATCCAGCAGGCATGTAAAAAGAAAAACATCAAGGGGAAAAGGAAAAAAAGACATTCAACAACAGCAGCTCACCTGTGTGCACAACAGACCATGGCAATCATCACAGGGAAAGAGAGAAGCCCCAAACTCTCTCGGTTTTGTGCTGTCCACATTACTAACTCTGATTAAAGAATTGTCTTTTCTGCGAAGATTCAAGGAATGCAACTTAGTCGGCGGCAGAGCAGTAATTCCCCCGAATGGACCTGCGCATGCGCAGGGAGTGATCGCTACCAAAAGACACCTTGTGCCTTGCAAACAATATTGCTAGTGGAACAGGCAACAGATTTCAATCCCTTTAAAGTTCCTGTTTGCCGTGCTCCGAGTCCTCCAGGCAATTGGAGACAACCTGCTGTTTCAATGCACGGGACCCTACGTGCGTGTGTAGACAGAGCTTCCTTTGTGTATTGGAGGTTGCTATGTTCGCTTCCTTTCTGCCTTAAACCTGATTTGTTTTTTTTTTGTTGTTGTTAAAAAAAAAAAAAAAAAATCGGTTCCCAAGGATCCAGCAGAGGCTGCCTGTGATTGGCATCTTTCGTTGACAGTCACGGTGGTCCTAGAATAGGGAGTCCGGAGGCGGGAGATTCTCCCGTCGCCTGTGGCGGGGGGCGGGTATTGGCGAGAGCTAGAGAAGAAAATGGGAAGGGGCAGAGGAAACTTAGGACGTATATGACAACTCCAAGAATCAGGTCCAGGTAGGAGATGTCTAGGAAGGACATCTGGCTTAGTGTTCTTCTCAGTGGGAGAAGA